AAAACATCTGTAAAGTGGCTTAGTTTTCGAATTATCACAAAATATGATAGAAGCATAAAATTCTTGAGTGTTTTCTAAACTAACTTTCGAATCCAAAACACTATGTGTTCACTATTCAAGATTCATGGAGGAAGTGTGCTCGCTCACATTGTCCAGCATTAGCTGGGCAAATTGCTGCTTATTAGTAGTCGGGCAGCCAGGGGCTTCAATCCCCGACTTCCTCTCGCTTTGGAGCGCTATCGGTCTTCCAGAACAAAGAGCTTCGACCGGAGAACAGTTGACTACCCCGCCTGAACTGATACACCTCAACACCGTCGTGTCTGATGCTGAGGCTGCGCTGGAATTACCCTCATATGCCTGTGTGCCGCCAAGTCCATCGTCGTGCAAAGCAGCTAGACCCACGGCATTCCCAGTTCGGCAAAACATGCTCGTTTTGAGCATCCGATGTGGTTGGACCTTCCGCAGTCACAACAGCATGCTTGTCCTTCTCCATTTTCGACATGTTGCAATCGTTGTGTACATGCCTGCGTTACGGCATCCTGCGGTTTAAGCTTGTCAAGAGTTCTACCAGGTGCGCGTCAAATCTTCGTTGCTCCATTTGGTTTGATTCGACCCGGAGCAACGAAGATTTGATCGCACCTGGTAGAACTCTTGAGGGACAGTTTCATTCCAGGCGATGAAGCTGCATATCTCGAAGCCGGAAGAATGGGAAAGTGAACCCATTCTCGGTAGCTCCAACCTCGTCGAGTGTTTTCAGTCATGTCTGATGTTCAAAGCCTCTTCTTGAGTGCACCTCTCGATCAGCCATTCTTCTTGCGAATGCGCGCCGCGATTGCCGAGTACGAGTTTGGCGCGTAACTGAAAACGAACTCAAGCTTCGAATGTGAGTCTATTACCTTTCAATCTCTTCTCCAAACCTAAACCCTGACATGGCCAGAAATGGAGCGAGTTTTCTTTTGTCCTCCTCAGCATGTATTGCAAGTGTTTAATCATCTCCGAGTGGCGTGGCCGAGACTGTCACCTCCTTCGCAGTTATGATTGAGAAGTACAAACGGGAGCGACAGTCCCTCTCAGTCTCTTGTTCTCCGCGATAACAAATTCCCGGAACAGTTTTCTCTTTCGTTTGATGGTGCTCGTCCGAACAGTTAGGTTGCGGCTGTTCTTTCTTTTTCACCCCAAAGTCTTAATGCAATTGCTGTGGTCCTTGCTGTTTCAAGGTGCATTCTGGACTTTACATTCGCAAATGGAGTCGAAAACGGACGAACGATTGTCATGGTCCGGAGGGATTTTGTCCGTGAGGTGTTTTGTACGAGACAGAGAAGGACGACATTAAGAGCTTGCCGGACACATAGAGCCAGACGTTGCAATCAACGTCTGCTCCAGATTGCAGACTTCTGTCAATGAAAAAGAAAGGAGATAGAGATTTATTTTTAGTTGAAGCCAAAAAATATTTAGATTAAAAATCCAAATTGAAATGGTTATCCTTTAAATTTTTCACAATATGCTCTCAAAGGGTAGATGCTGCTTTAGCACCTGAAGGAGATCATCAGTTACACGCTCCCACAAAGTCAGTCTTGCGTCACCTTTCTCCAAAGAGTGAAAGGACGTTGCTTATAGCTGCGAAAATTCCCGTGAAAGAAAAAAGAGCTGGTCTAGATCATGCGTTCCAGCTGTCGATACTTCCAAACAAAACCACAGAGCATGCCAAGTGCCGTGACTCGGGCCAAAAAACGAGATTAGTTTCCTCCATTCCAAAAACGTGTGACAGAAGGAGAGGAATTTCGGAGGGGTCAAACTTTTCTATCCTTTCCTCCCCGTTTGAAACTTCGCCCGCCCACCAGAAGGAAGAAGAAGGACGCAGTACAAAGCGGAAGCATTCCTTGTCAAAACCTTGAATGCCGCGTTTCCAAAAGCCTCTGCGCTGCTACAAAAACTACACTCTTTTCCTCTAGTCTTCCAAGAAAATTAGGAAAGGTGAGAGCCAAGAGGTCGAGCTTTGAGCTCCACTGTGAATCGAAGCTTTAATTTTAGGCAGGACTGGGATCGCTAGGTGGTGATCCTTTTCGAAAAGTTTAGTCCCCTGTCTCCTCTAGCCTTTTACTAGCTGCGAGTTTTCCATTCGCTCTCCTCGATTAATCAATGTGCAAGGCCGACAGGACGGAAGAACGCCGGCGAGAAAAAGAAATGCCGCAGCAGCAGCAGCAGCAGGATCGAGCAGTGGTGATCCGGCACAGCTCCTCCGAGCAGAGATTGTCCCTCCAGGAGCAATTCGACAAGCTCGAAGTGAGCAGCACTTGCAGCTCCAGCAGCAGCAGCAGCTATGGATCCAGCATTACCACCAACAGCGTCAGTAGCGGCAAGATCAAAGTTACCTTGCTCTACCGGAAGGCCGACAATTTCATCCTCTACATGGAGGCCGGCAAGGACTTCGTCGACTTGCTGCTTAGCTTCCTCACGCTCCCAATCGGCACGGCCATGAAGCTGCTCAGGGACAGCGCCGGATCCAAGCCCAGTGGTGGCATCGCCAACATCTACGACAGCCTCCTGGATCTGGACGAGTCGCTGTTCTACGTCGACAAGGAGCCGCTCGTCTCTCCAAAGCCGCTAGAAAGCCCCGAGTTGAGCATCGATCTTCTCAAGCCGAGCTTTGCTGCTGGAATTGAAGGTGGCGGCGGCGGCGGTGGTGGCACCACTCCAAAGAGAAGCATTGTCTACTACAAGTGTTGTAACCACGGCTGCTTGAGATTTGTCATCGATCTTCCCGGCCAGATCTGTCCCGTTTGCAAGTTTGCGATGAGTCACAAGCTGGAGCTCATCCAGCCCAAGGCCTCGTATCCGCCATCGCCAGTTGCTACTCCGACTACTCCGGTTGCTGCTGGTACACCGCGGCGAAAGGACAAGGTTGGCTACGTGAGGAAGAACAGGACCTTCATCATCACCGACAGCCTCGAGATTTTGCCGCTCTCGTCCATCACCGGGGTCATCCTTCTCAGCAAGCTCAAGCTTGACAGCCTGAAGGACTTGCAAAGTTGCCAAGTCTGTGTGGGAGTTCCAGAGGTACGTTTCTTCCTTTGCTTGTGTTTTATAATCTTCCGTCCGCCTGCTTTACTGATTCTCATCTCCATTTTCTTTCTCTTGCCAGGTCCTGGAACTGCTCAGAGCATCCTTGAGCTCGCAGACAGCACTTAATGATGTTTTCGGGTCAAAGAAGAAGTAGCTTCGATCGGATCGTTCTTTTTTCAATAGAGTTTTGCGAACTTTGTAGATCGGGTTCTGCAAATAGAGTATACAAACATGAGAATATATAAATATCGACCGTACCAGAAATAATCGAGTCAAAAAGGAACCTCCAACTTCTAAAGCTGCTGGTCCAATGAAACTCCCAAGTCACATAGCCAAAAAGGAAGCCATCACAGCAATTGCCTTAGTGGCTGGTGGGCCACACAAAAAGAGAGACAAAATGAAAGGGAAAAGTCTTACGATTTTCGGTTCTTGATCGACCAGACGTATGAAAGAATGCAGCTAGATGCGAACCAGTGTTTCGACGCTGAATGGGAAGTTGTAAGGTGGTCCCTTGTCGTAGAGCATCTCCACCAGGAATTCACAAGTTCGGCTCGACGGATGATAGGCGTCCCAGAAGTAGTATTCGGAGGCGTCATTACAAACGGGGACCCCAGGAACACAGCTTTGTATCTGCTTAAACACACCGCAGCAAGCATCGTTCACGTTTTTTATTCCTGTAAGAAAAGTTTCACCTTTTCTTCGTTAGCGAAAAAAATTGAGAACTCTGTGACTCACCGAATGGAGCGGGATCTTGGACGATGGACATCATCTGGTAGTACAGGTCCGAGTAGACGATGTGAGCCTCTGGCAGCTCGTGGTTGAGAGCGGTGAGCGCACGATGAAGAGCACGGTTGTACTTCATCACGGGACTGTTCAGGAAGTGGACGCACGAGCTCCTGCCATACCTGGCGAGCTGCGCAGGAACACAACCCATCGCTCCAACCCCAGCGATCACAAACTTTCGTGCTCCCAAGTTGTAAAGTTCCTGAGGCTCGAATGTCAGACAAATCACAGGAAGAGAAGAAAAAACACTCACTCTGGTTTGCTCCAGCAGCTTGGAAAGGAGTGTGTTCTGAAATCTCAGATTGGAAACAGCTCCAGTTAACGGGTATGTCATTGTATAGTCGTTGTTCCCTGTGAAAATGGAAAAGAGAGACCTGGATAGCATATCTGTTGCATTGGCTGAGCCAACCATGGAAACCAGTTCTTCCTTTACTTTCGCAAAGTTTTGCACTTGCTCGGTGATCTGAATCAGCTGGCCCTGGACAAACTACCGTGATCTAGCAATGTTCTAGGCTCGAATATAGAAGACTTACAACATTGATATTTGTTATATCGAGGATCCCAGACCCAGCAGAAGCGAAGTTGACCCCGCTGAGCATCGCAAGTCCTTTAGTGGACGGATCCATGAACGCTGGCAGCAATGGCAATCCCAACCTTGCCGCTGTATCCAGACAAGGAAACATCAGTACAGCATCTAAAGTCACAAAAACATACCAAGAAAGTCGATTTGATTCCTTCCATTGGTGAATCTCCCAGTTGGTTTTCCGGTGTCAAATTCTCTTCCATAAGGTGGAAAGTTCGCTTTCGCAAGAGTGACAAGGTAGTTGTTGTTGCCGACATCTGCCAAGGAGTCACCGAATGCAAACAAGGCAGGAACTTCGGCAGTAAAACCAGAACGAACAAAAGCGGGAAGAAGCAGTGCAAGAAACGTAGCCAACCTTGGACACATTTTGCTTCTCCTGCAGGCAGTGAGGCCTAGCTGCGGGTTTAAATGCTCAGGCGCACTAGCTCTAGCGCGTTGTAGCTCCACAAAGTACGTCCCAGGCTGCTTTGCCAGTGTTGTTGATAAGGCCTGTCAAGAATAAATGGAATCGTGACATCGTTCCCGGTGCATAAATGCGCGCACAGGCCATCATTTCAAATGCTCGCAGACAGGTTGGAAAATACTCTTTCCTGAGAAGAAATTACATCCAAAATCAGTCTAAGACAAGAATATCAATAAAAATCACCAAGCCAAAGTAAATCCCGTGTGGTGCTGCCACAGATAGTACATAAAGGTGCCGTTTAGTTGAGCCCTCGCATTAGTCCCTTGAAAAAGAGCGTGAGTACCGTCTTGCAGCCATAACCGGGGACGGGCTGCCAAATAAGATATGGCTTCAGTAAACTAAAGAAAGAAAGCTCAGTGTACCTTCGACTTAAGGACCTTCGAGAACCATGCCCGTTGCCTTGTGGACTAGGACTTGGACCACGGTCAGAGATTCCCGGTGATGGCCGATGCCGAGACCGCGTTTCTCTCCTGGGCGAGGGAGAACGGATATTGTTCTGGTGGTGGTGGTGGTGAGGGCTCGGGGACCTTCCGTATCGTTCGTGAGCATCCCTAAGGTACAAATTACAATCTCAAATCCATATCAGGAAGTCTGGATTTGAACGTTTACCTGGACGAGTGATACCTTCGAGGCCGAGGCGACCGAGACCTCGAGCGAGCTACGTCAAACAAGAAAGCTCAGCTACAAAATGAGGATCATAATGTTCACTCACATCTGTAACGCCGAGGAGATCTAGGCGGGCTTCTGCGATAACCTCCACCATAACGACCAGAGCTCCAGCTCCCACTCCGACTGAAAGAAAAAAAAGTTTAACAAGGCTTTATACTTTCACGAGGCGCACCTTGTCTTTATCCGCATCTCAGACGGTTTTTTTCTGTTTTCCTCGGCGAAAACAACAGTAATTTCTCGTCCGCCTAACAACTGGTGATCCATATTAAACTTAGCGTCCGCTGCATCGCCCGGCTCTATGAACTGGACAAAACCAAAACCACGAGGTTCCCTGTAGCCCACATTATCCACAAGCAAGCGTCAGTACACCACAAGGAGTTAATCACACCAAAAAATAAAAGATTGAAGAGGTTGCAAACAATATCACACGTTATGCAAAGACTCACCTATCATAAGGCCTGCACAAGATTGTCTTGTGACCATACCTTACAATATAGGCGATCATTGCAACTGTCTTCAATCTTGGAAGGAGGAAAGGTATCACCCATCATCAATCTTCAATGCACACAGGCTCATAGGAAACTTTGGCATACTTCAGAGAACTTCTAAGCCTCAGGGTCTTGGATCCAACGTCAAATGCAAAACTTCTACCAAAACTCTCTTATCAGCCACTTCTCTTCAATCCTGTAGCACACTCGCAGACTTATTACGCCGGCATTGCAATACAGGGAGGGAGAATGGGAGGGAACATTGAGATTTGAAAAAAATATAAAAATGAAGAAAGAAAGAAGAAGAAAAGGGACTTCCAACTACGAGACAACGAAGAGGAAATAACTAAAGAACTCGTCACGTACCCGGAATAATAATCTTTCGGGAGATAGACGTCCTTGACAGGCCCAAACTTCTCGAATGGCACACGAACTTCTTCGGGCCTGGAAAAAAGATTCCATCCGTCATCCATTCCCATCGAAACCCCTCGCAATCTATCGAAATCCCTTCGAAAAATCCCTCACCTGGCCTCGCGCGGGATGTTTCGGACGAGCAAGCTGCAAGGAGGAGAGCGGCGCCACTCGCGATCGCCGCGCCGCATTGGAGGATCATCGGCATACCTCCGTCGCCGCGGCCCAGGGCTGCGGCTTCTTGGGCTGTAGCTCCGGCTCCGGCTGCGCCCCATTGCGCTCGAGAAAACCCCGAGAAACACTAAAAACCCTGGTACTCAAACAAGAGAGGAGGAGGATATTCGCCCCTTATCTAGTCTCAAAAACTATGTACATACATCCTTTAAAACTAGGAGGATATATCTTTGTCTTCGTCCATGTCGGCTTGGCCGCCAGCGTCATCGTCTTCTTCCAGCTCTTGTTCTCGTTCTTGCTTCTCTTCTTCCATTTTTCTTGCGAGGATCACGGAGACCTGGGCACATTCTCACTGGTTTTAGCGATGATCTATGCAGTAGCAGCGGGGAATCGAGAAATTCTAGAGGAGCCATGGAAGAGATTTCCAAATGCATGGAATGCGAGTAGAAGAACTCACAGGAACAAATCGAATTGCTGGAGAGTTTAGCTGCTCCTCCGCGGCATCGTCTTTGCTCACTGCGCGTCAATCACACACGATCCAGCTCAGTCCGCAAGGAAATTGGGGCAAGAAACCTGAGATCGGGCTCCATTTGTAGAGCAGGACCCTGGAGCTCGCATGCGTCGCCGAGGTAGTGACGATCGGCGCCCAGGACTTGCGCCATTTCCTCACCGGGCCCTGGAACACTACCGATCCGGGGCCGTGCCGCGTCGAGGATCTGCTGCCCATGCGCGTGCTTCCTCCCTCCATCGCTATAAACCCTAACTCAAACACCCACAGCCGTCGGTTCTAGCTAGCGGAATGCGTGCTCCGCCGTTGGATCTCCTGGATACCGTTATGGAAAGATCCCGAAATTTCGGAATGTCCACCGTAATGTTCATTCATTTTGAAATAGCCCTACTTCCCTCCTCTCTGGTTTCTTTGCTCAGCGGCGTGCTAGGGCATTGGCATTGGTGCTCTATGATCTCGCCAAGCTCGCCTTGAGATCTTTCGCCTTGGTCGCTCAGCACTGGATTAGTTCTTCCGGGAATGAGGCTGCTCCGGCGGAAGATCAAGAAGACAGACGCCAATGGCAGGGTAGGGCTTGCTTTCCAGCTGAGAGATTTCTTGTGTTGTCTCAATATTTCGCTGGCAGATCGAGCTGGAGCGAGTCATTGGACTGACTGTGACGAATGCGAGCGGTCTAGCGACCAATGCAGCTACTGGCGAGGTCGCCTACATTGCTGGATGCGTGGTCGTGATCTACAACCCCAAGACGAACACGCAGTCGCGGTTTTTGATCGCCAACAGGACTCCAAAGGCAGTGTCATGCGTCGCCTACTCTTACCACGGGGGAAAACTCGTCGCTGCTGGAGAGGTATTCATTCATTCACTCACTGGATTTTTTTTTAACTTAGAAGCTCTTAATGGCTCATTAATTTCTTCCTTTCAGTCGGGGCACCAACCTGCTGTAATTATCTGGGATTCTATCAGTGGACAATGCATGATCGAGCTCAAAACCCACAAGATTGGGATCTCTTGTGTCGAGTTTTCTCCCAATGGTACGCATGCATTTTTCTCAGCATGACAATCTAGGCTTACTTATGTCTCCACAGGGAGGCACATTGTATCTGTTGGAGTTCCACACGACGGATTTCTCTGTCTCTGGGAATGGAGAAGCGGGACACTGCTTTCTAAAACTCGAACGAGTACAGTCTCATCTCCTGTATCATCGGTCCACTATGCGTCCGACGGGAGCTTCTTCATAACAGCTGGTATCAAGCATCTCCGGCAATGGTCAGTAGTACAAGGCGGACGAGCTCGCCCGACGGCTGCAAACGGCTCCACACTCGAAGGCAAAGCTATCAACCTGGGCAGCCAGAAGGATGGTTCCTTCGTGTCGATATCGTCGTCGAAAGATCCAGCGGCGCAGTCTGCTAATATACATCCCATATACGTCCTGACAAATGCAGGTCTGTACCTCTTGGACATCGAAGTTGTTCTATGTTCTGACCACATCTTGTACAGGTATCTTGTGTCTTCTACACTTGGGAATAGCTGTCGAGAAGTGGGTCGATCTCAAGGTTTTTCCAATGCTTTATATTCTGCTGTGGGTCTAAGATTATTTAACAGGTTCGCCGTGGCTTTGACTTGGCTGTGTCGGAAACACATGTAGCTTGCGCCTGTAGCGATGGAATCGTGAGATTGTTCGCGCTTGGGACTCTTGCATATGCTGCTACACTTCCACGGCCGGCACCATATGGATATCATGGGCTTACAGACTCCAACATGTGCACTGCTCTCTCTGTAGGCCGTGTGCATGGCATCAATTTTCCGGACGCTGTCGCCTGCTCTTTCATTGCCAGTGGTGACAGAATTGGTACTGATGGAGATGGATTCATGGTCGGTGCTTTTCTAACGTGATGATTGATGCAGCTGTTGTCTATGGAGATCATAGTCTCTACGTATGGGACGTCCGCGATTTTTCTAAGGTCAGACAATAATAGTTGAGAGCCCGATGCAGAAGTTCTAACGCGAGCTTCTTACTAGATTTCTCGATGTCGGACGTTCCTCGGTCACGCGAGTTGCATTTGGGATGTCACCTCTGTTCCTCAGTTTCACGCTCTCAAGTCAAATGCTGGCAAGGAAAATGTCGTAGGCGGTGAATGCTTCGCGACATGCTCAGCGGATGGGAGTATTCGTTTGTGGAATGTTGGCCCGGATAAGGACGTATCTCAGGCAGTTGCTTCAAAATCAGCAAATGTTTATTGCAAAGACATTCTTGGAGTTCTATACACTGGTAAGCATTGTTTGCGAGCTTTAGCAGTTTTAAATCTAGCACGTTTCTCCTTGCAGATGTGAAGGACATCTTAAGGCCTTCTGAGCAGGATGTTGATTCTCAGGATTCTTCTCAAGGATTTCGAGCTATAAGCGTGAGCGCCGATGGGAAGTATTTGGCGTCAGGAGACCGCTCCGGCAACCTCCGTGTCTACGACCTGATGACTTTTGAAATGGTTTCATTCCAGGTACTTTCGAATATTTGTTATGGTTTTCTGTTAGAGAATGTATTCTTAGTTGAATTCTTTTGTCTGCTTGATGTAGAGTACTTCCTATAATGGCTGATGATGGCTTACCCTATAGGTTTCATTGTGAACATCATGGTGGATCCGAGCAGGAAGCACATGACGCCGAAATTTTGTCGTTAAGCTTCAGTGCTGGATTTCAAACAAGATCGGAAGAACAAATGCCGCTTCTAGCATCTGGAGGAAGAGACCGTTTAGTTCACATGTACGACGTTAATCGGTGAGTAAGTAAGTTTTCTTTCAGTATATTAAAATGAGAAGTATTTTTTATGACAGAAATTTTGAAGTCATAGAAACTTTGGATGATCATTCCGCGTCTATCACTGGAGTAAAGTTTGCTTGTGGAGGGACAAGATTACTTAGCTGCAGCGCCGATAAGTAACTGTTTAAGATGTTTTGTGTATATTTATTATCTGTTTTTTTTTTCAGATCAGTTGTTTTCCGTCACATTGAATCGAAGGACGGTTGCACAAGAAGTTCGCGCTATCATCAAGAAGTTGCTCTGCGTGGTACGATATACGACATGGATTTACATCCCAATGAGAAGTTCGTGGTCACGGCGGAACAGGTGTTACATATCAATTTTGTATACTCGTTTCTGATATTTAGCTGCTTCAGGACAAGAAAGTGAACATTCTGAATCTGACTACTGGAAAACCAGTGAGAAATATTAAACCTGAATCCGACTTCGGTGAACCAATCAAGGTAATGCATAATTTCAGGTTGGTCCTGGCTCATGTTTTCTTTCAGGTTAGAGTTGACCCTAGCGGCACCTTTGTACTATGTTCGCACTCGGATAAGTGTATAAGGCTTTATGATTTTGCAAGCGGCGAATTACTAACGCATGCATCGGGACATGCTGAAGTAATTACTGGCATGTCTTGGCTACCCGACTGCAAGCATTTGATTTCAGTAAGTGTTTCGTGTTTCTTAATATTTCTTTCTATTGGGAGATTGATTTCAGGTCAGTGGTGACAGCTGCATTTTCATCTGGAAGCTTCCTCCAATCATGTCTCGGACTATGAGAAGAAAATTGATCTCTCAAGCAGAAGCTCAACCGCCGCCAAGATATTTGAAGTCTGCACTGAAGCGGTCACAGATAGGTCGCTTGAGAACAAGCAAAACATCATTGATCAGGTTGTCCCTCGTGGATTCAGCTCAGGAAAACCCAGCACTTGCAACAAACGAGGAACCTTCTTTTAAATTCAGCGTCTCAAAGCTGCCATCTTGGGCGCAGTCGAAGGTGGAGGAAGAGAACAGTGAAAGCTCAAAAAGAACCAATGCGGATAATCCAGAAGAAAATGCTCAATCTGCAGAGTCACGATGGGTCGAGGTGCTGTATTTTGTTATGCTTCCATAGCTAACATGGCCAACTTTTGCAGAGAGTCGGAAATCACGGCTACAAGCTTGCAACGGAGGCGGGAGAAGAAACGCCTCCTGCAACCATTCATGTGAGCGGATTTGGTGCCCGCAGACGATTTTCAGTGGAAAATAGCGTAACAAATCAAGACAGCACGCCAGAAAGCTCATTAAACTCACAAACTGATGGGAGCCCCATGTCTAGTCCTAGAGACCCGCCAAGGTATATATGAGCTTTTCGTTTACCAAAACATTCTAACTTCACTTATTTTGTAGGAAGGAGACGCAGTGGAAAACTGTGCACACTGTCTTTTTTGATGAAATGGACTTTTTGCCAGATACAGGTCACGGAGATGAGGCAGCTCACCATTTTGGTTCTAGAGTCATTACAACAACTTTTGCTTCGAGTGCGGAAGAACAGGAAGATGGTTTAGTTGTATGCCTTCCGGAATATGAAGGTCCGAAATGCGGAGGACTGGGCACTTTTGAAGAAACAGTTATGTCCACACCCAGAAAAGATGGTGGCAACCATGCTTTGGACAATGGGAAAAATGCCGGCGACCAGATTGTCGGCATAGACAGTGGGAGAGATGAAGTTAAAAACTGCAGTAGCTCGCCAATGGACTGTAATGTCTCTCCTGGCGACGACACTGATGGCTGGGACGAAAATTCTAGTCCACGCAGGGATCTTTTCAGTGCTCATTTCGACAAGCTCACATCGGCTGCCAAGGTAGAAAATGTGGAAAGCTCATTTTTACTCGTCTTAATACGCTTCTGGCAGGCTAACTCTTCAACTCGAAGTAGTCTATCTGCACGGTTTTTTGCTCGGACAACTAGAACACCTATTGTACAAAATCAGGATGCTCTATTAGAGGACGATGACGTCACTAGTAACCCAGGTTGCTTATTGGCAGCTGAGCGTGAGCGTCTGAAGCTTCAAGAGCGTCAGGTATGCTAGTATCCCTGATAGATGTTGCTGAAAAAAGTCATGTTATCAGGATAAAATGGCTTCGGAGGTTCAACGCATGCGTGAACGTTTAGTAAATCTCGGGATGGCTGTGTGCGAAGGTGGCAAAGCCGAGAAGAGGCCTTTGGAAGATACCACTAACCAAAGCACTCCAACTAAGCACTTCAGCAGTAACAACTACGAACCAGAAGAAACAACACAACCAGATGATTATAAAATGCGTCCATTAGATGCACCCAAGAGACCTATGGTTGAAGCTGAGGATGTCTCTTGCGGAACTGCATCCACTATTGAGTCCGCTCCTTCATCTCCTGGAAACTTGGCTGATATGTGCACGAGTCCACAGAGTAAGATGTCAGCTTCACAAAACAGTTTTTCTAATGCTTAACTTCTCAGAAATGATGGAAGCTGTACCCGCATTTGGCGGATGCCTACCACGACCAAAGTGTGAATATGTTGCTGCTTTGGAAGATCTGGAACGGGCTGCTGAGCGAGCGACAAGCCTGTTTTCCGAGCTGCAAGAGTTTCCGGTGGACAACTTTGGCGTTTCGAACTTGGACTTGGCGGCAAGACTTACTCAGTCTTATCAAAGCGTACTCCCTGACGCTTTGCAGAAGATTCAGAACCTTGCAAACCAGCTATCTACTCGCGGTATTTTGACAGCCACTAGTGAAAGAGCAGCCGATACTCCAACCTCAGACAACGGTGAGTGCTCTTGTACTACATTTCTATGCTTTACGTGCGGCTTTTGTTTCGTTCCAGGGCTTTTATCGAGGCCAAACACTGCTGCTTCACTTGGTGCTTCTGATGTAGCTCGTTCTTCAGTTGACATAGAAGGCCTTTTAGAGCGTTATTCAACCAGGTTCTCGGAGAATTTAGCACACCAAGTACTGGCGTTGGTGCAGAAGGGATTGGGCACTGAAACCAAGTGAAACATAGATTCTAGCCTGTAAGTTCGGTAGTACCATCGAACTGCTGAGTCGACGTTAACCGAAACTGATTGTCTTGTTCTGTTTCTGTTCTTCGAGGAAACCGTAGAGGTAGTTCGTCACTTATCAGTTTCGTTTTCTTGTTTTCGCAGGCCACAGCGTCTTCAGGAAGTACACTCCAGGTAAATCACCTTTTTCGATAATTTCTTGCTCCAACCTTGACTGACTTGGCAGATTCGATATGGGACCACATTTTTCACCTCAGCAACGAAAAACTAACGAGAGGTATAGACGAGACTTTGTTTTTTCTCACGCTTCACAGGTTGGTGGAGAAGCTTCTTTCGGAGATAACAAATGTGAAAGACATCCCCGAGTGATATGCGCTCGAAGTTCTTGCCACGGACTCCAACTTTTCGCACAGGATGATTTCGTGTGCATACACTTTCAATATCGTGCAAGACTAAGAATGAAATGTAAGTATACCAAACTCGTGAGTCCTGGTTTTGTGTACGAGATGCATGGCAGACGGTTACAGGCTTTTTTCTGCAAGGAAAGACTGATTTTTCCATTTCTATACTTGCCTTCCATGGCGTTTGTGTGTGTGCCCCGCTCGTCGTGCTCCAAGTGCTTGTCTTTCTTTTCCTTTCTTTTTTGCTTCTGGCTTCCACTGTGTGTCTTCGTTGTTTTCCAGTGTTAACAGCTATTTACTGATCGCGATCGTTTCAGTGAGCCAAGTACGTGAAGAGGAATCGCTCTTTGGATCAAGCAAAGAAACTAGAGCTCCAACGAGCAGTGCTACTCACTTAAGCTACGATCTTTCAGTGGATTGGAGCATCAATTAGCCCGAGAAAGAGACACGGACAAAGAGCCCAAGAGGCTGTCCATGTGACGCGTTGACACCGCAGGAGAAGCGCTCGTTCTTTCAACTTAAACAAAGCGCGACACTACTACTAAGATAAGGAGGCGAGAAATCGAAGAGATCGAAGAAATCCAAAACAAAGAAATCGTCGCTCGGCTGCTCGCTGTTGGGTGGAAGATGATGTCAGGAAAGTTTGGTGTCTCTGGACGCTCGATTTTTTTCATTCCATCTCTCAAAAATTTCCTCGCGTTTTGTTTGTCCTTTGCGAGTGATATAGTCAATTGGACTGGAGAAAATCAAACAAGGAAACACAAGGAGGGAATCTTTTGGGCTGGAGAAGAATCTATCGCGTACAGAAGAAAGGAATCTCCGCATGGAGCGAGAGAGACATTTTTTACAAACCATGGAGAGGGACAGGAAAAATCCCAAAAATCCCAATCCCATTGGTAGCGATTTTTCACCCCTCGGTAGGTTAAAAGGAAAAGAAGGGCAAGTTAAAGGCGCGCGTTTTCACTATTTACGGGGATCCGCTTTTTTGCCCCCGGACTTCACGCCCGCCTCTCCAATCCAGTTAGAGCTCTCGGGCTTTGCTCTGCGAATACCATAGAATAGAAAGGGAAGGGCGCACTGGTATAATTTTCTCGCATAACACACAATCCACACACAGGGAGGCTCGAGCCTCTTGTTATTTTACTCGCAGAGGGGGCAGGGCTCATCGCACAGCGCAGCGCACAGGGTGTGGAGGCCCTACTTCTCGTTTTCTTCCATCCCTTTCTTTTCACTGTCCATCCGGCCGCCAGTGCCGCTGCCGCGATCGCCCCAGCTCCTCCTCGATCCAGGGATTCGCCCCGCGGCTTCTAGGGTTCGCATTCGCCAGTCCTGTGCGGCGGCGCCGTGCGGCGGAGCTGGGGTTTTGGCGATGCGGCCAGCGTAAGCACAATGTGGGTGTGATTCCAGGGAGTCTTGGCCGGGGTCGTGTCCGGCGTCGCCGGAGCTGGCGGCATTGCTTGCTGACATTCGGGGAATGGTGGGATGGCTTCGTCGCCGGGATTATGGTAGATTTCCACGCGGTTTGGGGCGCAAATGCGTTGCCGTGAAGCAAGCCAGGGGTTTCTAGCTAGGGGCAGGGCGAGGTGTAGCTCGTTATGGCTTCCAGACGCTGCCACGGATCAAAGCCTCGCAGCTCCCAGCCCAGATTTTGTCAGCTCGATCCAAAGATTGGGTTGAATCGTGGGTGTCTATGATGGTGTAGTAGCTTGAGACTCACACACCAGGAGGAGGCGGCAAAGAGTGCAATGAAGGTCTACTATGCTGGACCTTTCCAAGCTCGTTGGCTCCTCTGGAAACTTCTTCTTATTGAGGTACATGGTTTCTTCTCTCTTTCGTTTCTCCGCTTTGTTGGGCCGAGCTGACAGCTTGGTTTGTCACGTTTTCCAGGCTTTTTTTCTTCTCGGTTGGATTTCTGCCGCGTCGAGTAAGCTGGGTTATGGCGGGAAGCATCGGGAGGAGATTGGTGCCCCGCAGTCTCACTCGTGTATCCACGGGGAGATTTTAGAGCAGCGAAGGCGCTATGGATTGAAAGAGTACACAGTCACTCCGCAAATGTATGGGCGCAACAACAAGGAAGCTGCGACGGGGCGGAGATTGATGAGCTTGGACGAGCTGAGCTTAGATGGGCGGCGACCAATCCGGATCTTCTTGAATTACGACGCTGTTGGCCATTCGCCTGACAGAGACTGCAGAAAAGTCGGAGACATTGTCAAGGTGTGTTTTTTATATGCGAAAGAGGCCGTTTTTTATACGCGTTTTCTCCTGCAGCTTGGTGAGCCTCCTTCGGGTGACGGACACAAAGTGCCGTTCTGTAATTCCCGAGCCGATCCTCCTGTCTATGGCGATTGTTGGTACAACTGCACAGTTGATGACATCTCCGGGGAGGATAAAAAGCAGCGCCTGCACGAGGTAAAGCATTCGATGTAAGTGGCTGTGTGTGAGCTCCCAACTTGAGCAGGCTCTTGGCGAAACTGCTTCATGGTTTAGAAGAACACTCTCGGTTGAGCCCGTGAAAGGACCTTTAAGGCTGAGTGGGTATTCAGCGTGTGGTCAGGATGGTGGCGTGCAATTGCCCCGGCAATATGTTGATGGTACGCGTTTACGCTTTTTCTTGCTTTTGAGTTCTTTACGAGCTTTGTCTTTCCAGAGGGTGTCTGGGAAGCCGATTTAGTTTTACTTGTCACGACGAGGCCTACCACTGGTAACACGCTAGCATGGGCAGTTGCGTGTGAACGCGATCAGTGGGGAAGAGCTATTGCTGGTAGCATGCCTATTTTCCCGCTTGATGTTTTTAACGTTGTGCTTTTGTGAGCAGGTCATGTCAATGTTGCGCCGAGGCATTTGACTGCCGAGGCGGAAACTTTATTGTCTGCCACTTTGATTCACGAGGTTTGTGTCGTGTTTTTCCTGTCTTTAAGAAGCTTAACTGGGCCGTTTATTAGGTGATGCATGTTCTTGGGTTTGATCCTCATGCGTTCGCTCATTTTCGCGATGAGCGGAAACGCAGGAGAAGTGAGGTAATACAAATACAAAAGACTTGATCTTTAAACTTCTTTGTGATTGCAGGTGGTGGTCCAGTCTTACGATTCGAAGTTACAACGAGCTGTTACACGCGTTGTACTTCCCCGTGTAGTGATGCATTCTCGCCAACACTACGGGGTATGGTTTCCTTTTCATGGTTCTAGTACTAAGTACAGACTTGTTACAGGCTTATTCCACTGAAATAGGCGGGTTGGAACTCGAAGATGGAGGAGGGAGGGGCACTGCAGGTATTTCTTTATGTTCGAGTAGTGATGGAATTTCGATTTTACTTTACGCTTTGCAGGCTCGCATTGGGAGAAACGGCTTCTTATGAATGAGATCATGACAGGCTCTGTCGATACTCGTTCAGTCGTCTCTGCTATGACACTAGCACTATTAGAAGATAGTGGCTGGTATCGCGCAAACTACAGCATGGCAGAGCAGCTTGACTGGGGCCGAAGTCAAGGAGAAGCGTTTCTGACATCTCCGTGTAATCAGTGGAAGGGAGCGTACTTTTGTAACTCAACACACTCTTCAGGTTGTACATATAATAGAGAGGCCGAAGGCTACTGCCCAATAGTTAGATACTCGGGCGACCTTCCGAATTGGGCGCGCTACTTTTTGGAGCCCAACAAAGGCAAGTGATCCAAGCTGCTCGGTTCCTTTTTTCTCATGGTTTCCTTGGTTTGCTTCTCAGGTGGACAATCTTCCTTGGCAGATTATTGTGCGTATTTTGTTGCCTATTCTGACGGTTCATGCACCGATGTCAACAGTGCTCGTGTACCTGATAAGATGCTTGGCGAAATGCGCGGGCATGATTCAAGGCAAATAGTCTTTTTTCTCCTTGGAATCTAATAATTCTGGATATATGTTTCAGATGCATGGCATCATCCCTTGTTCGAACGGGTTTTGTGAGAGGAACTTTGACTCAGGGGAATGGTTGTTACCAACACCGATGTGTAGGGGATAGATTGGAGGTGGGCATTTTATTCAAGAAGATATTTATATGGTTTGATATACCGTTTTATAGGTTGCGGTGGATAGCTTTTGGAAATCTTGTCCTCGGGAAGGTGGTCCCATTCAGTTTCCAAATTTCAATGGTACGAGTTGACTTGATGGTGTTGGTTGGTGCTTTAACGCTCCAAACTATGGCAGGAGAATTGATATGTCCAGCTTATTCGGAGCTGTGTGATGAGGTGCGCTCAATGCCTGGAGAGTGCCTTAATGGCTGTAATCTTAATGGCGAGTGCATTCAAGGGAAATGCAGCTGCTTTCTTGGATATGACGGCGAGGACTGCGGCACAAGTAAGAAATGCCTCGTGCCTTCATCCTTGCCTCTTTTCTGACATTGATGGCTCTCAGGAACATGCCCGGATGGCTGTAGTAGTCACGGAACTTGCTCGTCATCTGGCGTCTGTGAATGCGAAACTGGATATACAGGACTGGATTGCTCAACAGGTATAAAAGCTCTAGCTTTATGTAATGACAAAGAGTGTTCTTTAACTTCCCTTTTGCTTTGCAGCTAGCTGCGACGAACAATGCAGTTTACATGGTGGTGTGTGTGACAATGGAGTGTGCGAGTTTAGATGCTCGGACTACGCCGGTTACACATGCCAAAACAGCAGTGCACTCATTCCCAGTTTGTCCCTGTGTGGGGACGTACTGAGTGGCGATGCGCGTGGCCAGCATTGTGCACCCAGTGAAGCCAGCATCCTGCAACAATTGGAAGCAGCGGTTGTAATGCCCAACTACAACCGCCTCATACCAAACGGCCGATCGTTTCTCAACATGTTTGATAATGGCTACTGTGCTGCCGCGGCTCAGCGACTTGCATGCTGGGTAAGGTTCCCAGCAATTCTTTTCGTTTGTGGCTGAGAGATCTCCTTTCCTTGTTCCTTTGGCTACACAGATATCAATCCAGAGATGCGATATGGATGGTGACAACAGACTTCGAGTCTGTCACTCGGCTTGCGAGTCATACAACAGCGCCTGTGGAGCCCGACTTGACTGCTCGGACCGAACGCTGTTCAGCGGCGAAGGCGACGGGGAGGGCATGTGTACAGGCGACGGAGCAGTCCGTCCATGGTGGGAACTTCACTTTCGGACGCTACTGCTCGCTGGCCTCCTCGTCACCACAACCTGCTTCTTCTTCGGGGCAATTCGACACCTTTGCAAGGGCTGCCACTCGTGGAGGGCCGGATTGGACGACAACACCGGTGGTGCCAGCGGCTTCTACACCATCCTGGAAGACGACGTTTACAACTCCAGCAACAGGTTTACAAGCAAGACAACAGGTGCTATACTCTCAGCCGTGAGCAACCAATTCATTTGCCGGAGCTTTTGGACTTACCTCTCTCCATCGCAGCCGCCGCGATTTGGCACAGCAACAACAGCAAGCAACAGATCATTGGCACCAAGTGTTTGGGAGAATAGTTAGCTCTCACAGCTCCAGCTTGTCATTAAGCTGTTTTTCCAGAAGCAAATGTACGAAGCTGGGCTTCCTATTTTCATCCGGTCTCTTATCTCCTAGAGGTAGCCTCGCCCTCTTGCTTATTTTCGCTCGTTCTTACAGTTATCTCTCTCATACTTAGGAACGCTGGCATGCAAACAGGGTCTTTGGCCAGAGAAGAAAAAAAATGAGAAGATGAATCACTAGTGGAAAAGTCGCGCGTAGGCTGAGCTCAAACTTTGCATGAGCGCCAAGATTTGCGTTTTCGCATTATCTTATGGACTACTTTAACTTAATCTCCGGTATCGGTGGAGATCGCAGCAGGACGGACCGCACCGCACTGCAGGAAAGCTTTATTCTTTTTTCAATTGCTTTTCTCACCCTGTGTTCTTCAGGGTCACCCGCATCTGAGGAAGGGAGTTTTTCGAAAGTCGTCCAGAGTTTTCTTCTCCTTTTCCTTAGTTCTTTCGACAGCATGACTCAAGGCTGACGAGGTACTTGCAAGTGATTTCGTTTTCGGAGGACAAAAAGCGAGAGAGAGCTCGTCTTTAGCTAATCCTATCTTCCATTCCCTTTTCTGTTGACAATATTTTTGCTCCTACTTAGATATTGGCTATGGCTGGAGCTGCTTTCATAGGCGCTGATGAGCGAGCTAGCAATTACGAGGCCAGGATTACCATCTATGTTGTCCTTGCCTGTATCGTCGCTGCCAGTGGGGGGCTTCTCTTCGGCTATGATATTGGGATTTCGGGTAAGGGTCATTTTCTGTTTCCCCCTTTTCTCATATATACAGTCTCTGGACAAAAAACGTTTTTTGTTAGATGGTACTTTGACGAAAATGGGATTTTTATCTTGCAGGAGGTGTGACCTCCATGGATCCATTCCTCAAGGAGTTCTTCCCAGTTGTCTACCGGAGAAAACACAGCCCGACCGCTTCCACCGACGACCACTACTGCAAGTATGACAATCAGGGCCTCGCAGCTTTCACGTCCTCGCTCTACATCGCCGGCTTGATTGCCACTTTCGGAGCTTCCTACACGACCAGAGTTTTTGGAAGGAAGCCGACAATTCTAATCGGGGGCTGCTCGTTTCTCATCGGTGCTGGCTTAAACGCTGGAGCGGTCAACTTGGCAATGCTAATCATCGGGAGAATCATGCTGGGAGTGGGGGTTGGCTTTGGAAACCAGGTATGTTACTCACGTAAAACAAACATTTCTTTCTCTTTCCGTGCGAAAGTAGAACTAAAGCTGGCTGTCGATTCTTTCACGCAGGCAGTGCCGGTTTACCTCTCGGAAATGGCTCCTCCGAAATTCCGGGGAGGCTTAAACATGCTCTTCCAGCTCGCCACGACTCTAGGAATCCTGATTGCCAACTGCGTCAACTATGGAACGCAAAACATAAAGCCGTGGGGGTGGAGGCTTTCGCTAGGATTGGCAGCAGTTCCAGCATCTCTGATGACTTTCGGGGGCCTGTTCTTGCCGGAGACACCAAACAGCCTCGTCCAGCGAGGCCATCTTAAGGAAGGCAAGGCCATTCTGGAAAAGATCCGTGGAACCACCGGCGTGGAAGCTGAGTACCAGGACCTGTTGGAGGCCAGCGACGTTGCAAAGACGGTGAAGCACCCGTTTAGAAACATCTTCAAGCCCACGAGCCGGCCTCAGCTGGTGATGGCCTTCTTCCTCCCTGCGTTTCAGCTTCTCACAGGCATCAACTCCATCCTCTTCTACGCGCCGGTGCTGTTCCAGAGCCTCGGTTTTGGAGGAAGCGCCTCGCTCTACTCGTCGGTTCTCACGGGTGCCGTGATTGTCTTCGCTTCGCTGCTCACCATCGCCACTGTGGATAGATGGGGACGTCGGAAGCTCTTCATGCTGGGAGGAGTTCTCATGGTCGTCTGCCAGGTAAAACTAGTTCTTGGTTTTTCTAGTTTTTCACGGATTGATCTTCGCTCTTGCCTTCCAGGTTGCCATTGCGATCATCTTGGCAGTCAAGTACCAAGGCCAGGAGTCCCTCTCCAAGCAAAACTCAGCGCTCGTCGTCGTCCTCGTCTGCTTCTTCGTTCTCGGATTCGGCTGGTCGTGGGGGGGCCTCGGCTGGCTCGTCCCCAGCGAGATCTTCCCGCTCGAGACTCGCTCCGCCGGACAGAGCATCACCGTCGCAGTGAACCTCCTCTTCACCTTCGCCATCGCCCAGTCCTTCCTGGCCATGCTCTGCGCCTTCAAGTTTGGGATCTTCCTCTTCTTCGCGGCGTGGGAGGCGATCATGACGCTCTACGTCTTCTTCCTGCTGCCCGAGACCATGAACGTTCCCATCGAGGAGATGATCAACGTGTGGCGGAAGCACTGGTTCTGGAAGAACGTCGTGCCGCCGGCGTCAGTGGATAGAGAGCAGCAGCTCGCGGTCAAGTAAGAATTCTTCTATACAACAGTAAAAGTACTGTCTTCGTCGGCGAATTAAAATGACTGGAGAGGACAATTCCTTTAATATACTGAACAATATATCAAATTAAAGGAGATGTTTAGTTAAAACTTTGGGCAGATAATATTATTTCAAAACAACTATGTTGTATATAAAACTAACGGAGAAGTAGCGGTTAGAACAAGCGCCAAAGCTCTATTTGTCCGGGTTCGACTCTCGGCATCTCCATAATTCTTTGTTAGAAATTAGGGCAGATATTATAATAAAAAAGAACTAAGATAAAACATGATAAGTAGAAAAGTAACGGAGATGTAGCGGTTAGAACAAGCGCCAAAGCTCTGTTTGCCCGGGTTCGACTCCTGGCATCTCCATAACTTTTTTTTGGGCAGAAAATTCATGGATAAATTCTTTACTAACCAGATGCTGTGGATAAATTCTTTTAAATGCGGACTAAATTACAGAGCAGCCTCAACAAGTGGCCAGTCAGTGTATCCTTTGGGATCATCCATGGGATCTTTACTGTACCATACAGAAGTTGTCCAGCCGCCCATGTTGAGCTCTTGGCCCGCCGCCAGGAGCTGTGGGAGGTTGGCATTTGCAATGAAAAGAACTGCAAAGCAGACGAGGTCGCAAGTCCCCTCTTCCACATACTCTTCTGCCTGTATCAACGTCATCGTTAACATTCTCAACTTTGAGTTTCACTGCGGCTCACCTTCTGTGGCTGGATTCCCCCGTTGATCATGAGCGTTCCCTTGAAGTGCTTCCGGAAGAACTGAAACACGTCCGTCTCAAAGTTTGGCTTGTCCAGGCCCAGGAACTTGTAGTATGGATCGTAGTTGAGGCTGGACATGCAAACGTAGGCGAGATCTCGCCTCTCCAGCTCCGGACCCAGGTACGCAAGCTGATCTAGAGAGTCATCCTCTGGCTCGACCAATCCACTGAATGTCACACCTAGTTCCACAAGGATCATTGAATCAAAATCGACAAAGTAAAACTCTTCTCCAACCTTGCTGGAGCTTGATCCCAACCCTGTGCGATCCAATCGCCTTTACACACGCATCCACAACCTGGTGAACAAATGCCCAGCACCGAGTCAACCATAGTCAGCTCCCAGTCAACGAAAGTCACCTCGAGGACAAAGCGTGCCCTGTTTTCGACGCTCCCTCCATACTCGTCCGTCCGGAGATTCGTTTCCTTGGCCAGGAACTGCTGCATCAAGTACCCATTCCCACTGTGCAGCTCGATGCCGTCGAATCCGGCCTCGATCGCACGGGTGGCAGACGCCGCGACCTTGTCCACCTCCGCGGGGATCTCCTCGAGCTCCAAAGCTCTTGGAACTTCATATGGGACCTGGACAGCGATTCTCACTTTCACCACATCCAGTACGAGCGTGGGTATTTTACCTTCCCTTCCTTGACGTGGACCAATCCGCTGGGTTTTACCGCGGATGGCGCCACAGGGAGCATCCCATCTGGGAGGAGCGAGGAGTGGGAAATTCGACCAGCGGGCATCAACTGGCAGAAGATCACCCCGCCCTTGGCATGAACAGCATCGGTGACTCGCTTCCAGGCCTTGATTTGCTCGGGGCTCCAGATTCCGGGCATTCGTATGTAGCCTCGAGAGTCCGGGGTGGGATATGTCCCTGAAAGAGAGATCGACCTCACATCGATCGAACGATCTAGGCTCTAGCATACCTTCGCTGATGATGAGGCCTCCATTGGACGATCTCTGCGAGTAGTAGAGCACATTGAGATCTCCCGGAGCCTCCAGATCCGGGTGGTTCCTCAGGCGCGTCATAGGAGACATGGCGACGCGGTGCTGGAGCTGCGAATCGCCCACCAGGACTGGCTCGAGCAATCTCTTGTATGGAGGAGCCATTGACTAGAGAAACTGCGGTGGGCGATTCCGAGAGAAGCAAAGAAGAGATTGTGTGGATCTTGCAGAAGAACTCAACCTCATTTTATATTCAGCAGAGGATCACTTCGTGCTTTCCTTTGACTTCGTATAGCTTCCCCATGTCATGGTGACGTGTAAATGACGTCACCTTCGTCCTCCATGGCTCGTGGGGAATTCGTCACTCTTGGTGCTCTCTAGCCTCTCAATGTTAACTCCAAGTTGGTAGATCAAGCCTTTATGTGGTAGCTCAATTCTCTCTTGATTCGTGATTCACATACCTGGAAAACGAAATAGAATTTTCTGCCCCAGCTATGGACTTCTTGGAGCGCTTCTTTGCTCACTGGAATCACAAAATACCAATCCAATTGCACGAATGACTCAAAAGCATTGCTTACCTGGGATCAGAGCGGCTCTGGAGGCAAGTGATTCTCAGTTTTTGCCGGGATTCTTCCATTCTAGAAGAGATTGGGCGGCAGCTGACAGCACTCGGGATTCTCCTCGTTCAAGAAGAAGAAGTACGCCGCAAATGCCAGGATCCCAATCAGGGCCAACAGCTCCAGCCGGATCCCCCACTCCTCAAACTCGTCCAGGATGGCGGAGCAATAGCGATCGATCCGCCGCACCGCCCTCGACACCCATTTCAGCCCCAAGCGGGGATCGTCGGGCCTCTGGCGGCGATTCTTGAGCAAATAGAGTAGCGTGAGGCCGCCTGATACCGCCATTCCAACGGGCAGCGATCTGGCCGCCATAGAAGAAGAAATTAAAAGAGAGATGCGCGCGCAAACAGCCCTAAACGAAGGATGCCATTTGCCACGCTGGCATGGCCTTGACGTCATCGGCACGTCACCATGACACCAAGTATAAAATGGGGCTGGACGATCCACACAATCTCTTCTCTTCTTTTCTTCTCTCGGTGTTATGTTCAATGGATCGAGCCAGAGGATGGCTCTCTAGATCAGCTTGCGTATGGAGAAGGAGATCTCACCTACGGTTGCATGTCCAGCCTCAACTACGATCCATACTACAAGTACTACAAGCCAAACTTTGAGACGGACGCGTTTAAGTTCTTCCAGAAGAATGCTCATTATCAACGGAGGAATGGTGAGGCTCACCTCTTAGATTTCTCCAAACAGTCAAACTCAAACTTAACGATGACTTTTATTAAGCAGGGAACAGGCAGAAGAGTATGTGGGGGAGGGACTTGCGACTTTGCAGTTCTTTTCATTGCAAATGCCAAACCTCTGATGTTTTAATGGAGAGGACAATTCGATTAATACATTGAGCATTCTGTTGGTGTATGGAAAATTAAGGGAGATGTAGTGGTTATATCAAGCGACAAAGCTCTGTTTGCCCGGGTCCAGGCATCTCCATAACTTTTTTATTAAAAAATTATAACAAATAATAATATTTATTCTCCATAACCTCAAAATATATTCTTCTCATTTGCAGAATATGCCAGCAGTAGTAATAGCTTGTTGCATTTGATTATTTTTTACTATATGCCCACAAAATTGAAAAATTAAACCATTTACAAAAGCATGATATTATGCAAATCAGTTTTGCAAAATGCCCAACTATTGCATTTATTCTCTTGGCAAATTTAGCAAAAGGCTGCCAAGTTGAAGCATTTGATCAGCACCAGCCCTGCACGGGCCATCTTTTCTCCGTATCCATGCGCCACCATTTCTTCCTCTTGCTGGGCGATTCCTCCGGGCTCACGCTGCTCAAATCTCCCGAGCTGGAGCTAAAACTCCCGCTGCCACTGCTGCTGCGACTACTGCTCCCTCTCGACTGGCAAAACTCAATCAGCCTCGCGAAAAACCTCTGCCTCGTAAATCTCGACACCGGCGCCTCGATCGTGTCGGCCTCCCTCCACATCCTGCTCACTTGCGAGCTCGATAGATGCTCGTAGCTCGTCGCCATGGATTCCATGGACAGCTCGCTCGCCAGCATTGGCGATGGCCCTCCCCATCGCCGGAACTGCGACTTCCTGCGCGGCGTTAGCAGCCAATCCATCCGCCTCATTAGCTTCCACCTCCACGAGCTTGACAACTTCCTGAGCTTGACCAAGCACCGCCGGATCACCTGGAAAGAATTATAGAAAACTTTACTCTCCTTCTTGACACGATCACCCAACTTCGATCCACTGAGAGGGATTAGGAACGATGGGGGCACGATCTCGAGGATCGGATTGGAACCCGCGAGACCCAATTGCGTGATCTTCCCGCCCAGGAGCCTCGCTTCTCACAGATTCAACCCAGGAAGAACTTTGGATGGTGGATCTATCTAGAAATTTTCACTCGAGGATCATATCCCGAAGTTTACCTGAGAAGGCGACGATGAGCTCCTGAGCTTGCCTCGTTTGCTGCTTCTCGTCGCTTGCGTCTGCAATGTGGAATCCGTCAGCCGGCCCGAGTCCATTTGTCACACCTCCGGCATTTTCTACAGCCAAGCCTTTTATTTATTTTTGATAGATATGCGCCATAGCCACTGATCGCTCGAGCGCTTCTCCAATTTTACGAGCGAAATGTGCCACAAATTCAGAACGGTCAAGATTTGGATCTCTCGTCAAAAGTTGCGTGAAAAGAAAGTTTGACAAAGAAAAGGAGAAAGAACGACTTGTCCATCGGGTCAAGTTGACTTTCCACAAGTTTTCTTTTCTTCTATACAATGTAGAGGTTTATTTCTTAAGCAAGTTTTTTCATAAGAAATTTTCACTCCACTAGAATGGCTGCTGCGATTTTCTGCTTTTCGTTTTTACTTTTTCTTTCCTCTTCCTCTTCAAGCTCGACCATCGTCGTGTTCCTTGCTTGCTTGCTCGAGCGATTTCTACTTCAAGTGAGCGTCGTAAGCAGCAAGGACGCTGTCGGAGACGAGCAGTGGGAGCTTATCAATGTACATGTAAAGTCGCTGGAGGTTGTCCCGGGTGAAAGTCACCATGTCCTGCAAATCGCTGTTGTCCGTGACGATCCACAAGTCCCTCGAGTTCACGCGTTTCAGGCTATCACGGCAGAAGGGACACGACTTGGCCCTCAAGTTCCTGCAAATCCACAAAAGCAAACGATCAAAACCTTTCTGAGCAAAACACAAAGCAAGACTTCCAACCAAGTGAATCAAGACTTCGACTAGCTAGAGTCGTAAAGACACTGTACGAAAAAGAGACAAAACAACGAAAGCAAACAGATCTACAGCTTGGGATCAAACACCGACCAGAGCGAGTAACAAGAATAAACAAAGGGAGACGTAACTTACCAGTCTCGAAAGCACTGAATGCACATTGAATGCCCGCACCCGGGGAGTACGATCTTCTCCGAAGTCTCCATGCAAATATTGCACTCGTGTTCTCTCTCCAGGTCGATATCGGAGAGAGCCAGCCGCTCCTCCTCCTTCTTCTTGGACCGCTCTATACAGATTGATTTTTGTTTGGAATTCTCTGCTTCGCTCAGCACGGCCGGAAGCTGCTGCAGCGATGGATATATGTACGCTGCATCGAGAAAAAAAAAAAAACCAAGAAAAACAAGAGATGAGATGAGATCACAGATAAAAAGATGGATATATGTACGCTGCATCGTAAAGAATGGCAAGAAAAACAAGAGATGAGACCAGATCCCAGATAAAATAATCCTGAAATCCTTTTTTTTTTTCCATCTTGGTAGACCGAGACTACTTGCAGACAATGACTACTGGCACTACTGGCACTAGAAGATACTTTCGAAAGACACACACACACACAAGAGAGAGGAGAGAAAAGGGACAAAGCACCCACCGTAAAATTCTCTCAAGCTAGCTTTCCTCTCGTAAGTTGACATTGTCGTGGTTCCATCACGCAGCACCTAATCAAACAGAGACGAGAGCGCGAAAGTCAGTCGGATTGATCCAAGCAAGAAGCACCGCTCGGAACAAAAGATCAAAGGAAACTCTCCAAACTTCTACCTTGTAGATGAGAATCCGGAGGAGGCCGAGAGCACCAGCGAGGCTACAGTCGGCCCACTGGAATAAAAATAGGAAGAAATGCGCGGCGGGGCTGTAAGATAGCCGCATTTGGAGGCAGACGCCATCGTACTCGCGAGGATAATCTAGAGCCCTGCAAGCAACCAAGAACACAAAGTGTATACAGCTTAGTTTCAATACAAAGCGAAGAAAAAGTATGCAGAGATTCGAAAAAAACTTGACACGACATCGAAAACGATTTGGGAGCTTTGCATGATCGTTACGGGACAAGGACGCAAGGTGACAAGAAAGCCAACTATCTGAGGAATTTTTAATTTTTTTATCTTCTTTGTTTTGGGTGTAAGATAGATAAGCTCGAGCTCGAGCGCGAGGAAGATAAAAGAGATGGATCAAAACCATGTTTTTAAGGCTCGAGAGAAACTTACAGTGTGTTGGCATGTTGGATGTCAGCTTCCAAAGCTTTGAGGGATTCCTTGAAGGACTTGCCGTAGCCGAGAAGCAAGCACATATTGGTTTGCCCTTTCCGGAATCAATCGCAAAGAGAGGAAAAAGAAAAAAAAGAAAGAGGAAAAAAAGAGGGGGATTCACAAGAAAACCTCGAAGAGATAGACAAGAAAAAAAGAAAAAAAACTGTACAAGGACTACTATATACACAAGAAGCAAAGATGAAACGAGACCAACCTCTAGACAGCCCAAACCACGCAATGCATCCCTCCCTCAAACAAGAAAAAAAATAAAAATCCCCAAAGCAGGCACAGCGAATTTTACCTCTACATGATCAGGGCAGCACCGAAATCAAAGAATGCAGCGAAGAATCACCCATTCCCCGGCGACCCAACTCAACGCCACAGCGCGGGCTGGGAGGAGCGGCGCCGCCGCCCACAAATTCTCCCACACTCGACTGACTCGCTCGCCATAGCCCTCGCTCGCCCTCGCTCGCCCTCGCTCCAAAGCTTTGCTTGCGATCTCTTCTTTGCTTGCCCTTTGCTTTACCGCGGCGTGTCTCCAAACACTTCACCGAAAAATGGGTCCCCTCGCACTGGATTGTCTATCCCTTGTTCTCTTTGTTTTTTCTTCTCATCCACACCGATAATGCAGAGATTAACGAGATAATACGGAGATATTTTAGCCTAAACTAATGCGGTATCCTGATCCTCTCATCTGAAAGATTCTCTTTCTCTGTCAACAAGATCGCGAGCCGTCAGATGGATAGCAAGAGCAAGAGCCGTTGGATCCGTTAGGGCTGACGTGACTAAATTAGGGCTACGTGTTGGTTAGGGCTGACGTGTTGGATGATTTGACGCGCATTGTTTTGGAGCGATCGGACAAAGGATTTTTGCCGAGATCCATTTTTCTGTGATCAAGCAGCCAAGGCAGTACGACAAGGAGTCCTCCCCTGCGCACGGAGAAGTACCTTTGCTGGCCCGGGAAGTATCACGGCTATGGAATGCTAGCTTGGATTTAAGCTCGTTGTTTCTGGGAGGAGATTGGAACAATGCTGGGGTCGTCCGACAAGCGGACAAATCCAAAGATTCATCCTTTCGTCCCGGTGATTGATGCCGCAATGTTGCATCATCGTCGACCGATCGATCGCCCCTGACCGGCATCCCGAGAAACCGGGGATATAAATTCGCAGGCTTCCCGAGAGGAGAAGAGCATTCGACTTCCAGGGGATCGAATTTGATCATAGAAGTGATCAATGAGCTGCGCGTATCTCCACCAGCGCGTGAGAGCCATTGTGGCGCTCTTCCAGAGGCAATGGCAGCAGCCAAGGAGCGATTACTCAAGAATGGAATCCTCTTCTCAGATTTCTCCTCCTCCTTTCTCTTCTTCTTCTCAAAATCGCGCTGTGATAGATGATCTCGATCCTCCCAGCGAAGGCTTCTTCCCGGTCTACGTCGGGAGCGCCCGCCAGCGATTCCTGCTGCCGATTCGCTGCCTGGGTCACGCGTCCGTGAGGATCCTCCTGGAACAGTGCGAGGAGGAGTTTGGATTCGCGCAGAGTGGCAGCCTGGCCCTGCCGTGCAATGTGGAGCTGTTTGAGTTGGCGGTGGAGCAAGCGGAGGAATCATTCCGGCTGGAGGCGCTCGAGAGCAAGCACGAGAGAAAGGAGAAGCGCTCGCTGCGCAAAAGGATCGCTTTGATACGGAGTGCCTTTCGGTGACTTTAAAAGCTTCTCTTTTCTTCCTTCTTTTTCGTGTACTCCCAGCACTGCTTCTCTTTGATCATGATGGAGTCATGCTGGTTCGCAGATCTCTCTTGTAAGATCTTCGAGTTTCTCCTTTTTCTTTGCGCGATTTCTTCAAAGAAAGCGACATGATCCCCGCAAACTCACGCTGTCACATTTTTACCGGTGATTCTTCCTTGGAGGGTCTTTTGATTCGAGAAACTCTGGCATGGACCTCGCAAAAGTCACGAGGAGCTGTTAGAAAAAATCACATTTTTACCAGTGATTTCCTTGCAGGGTCTTTTGATTCGATCATGGACCTCGCAAAATCAAGAAGAGCTGTTAGAAAAAATCAGACTTTTACCAGTGATTTCCCTGGGAGGGTCTTTCGATTCGATCAACTCTGGCATGGACCTCGCAAAATCACGAGCCGAGAGAATAATTATTAGTGTAGAAAAAGAATGTTTTAGAAGTCACTGCTGCTGCTTCACTAGCGAAGCGTAGAGTAGCTCGTTCCAAGTATCTGGGACTCCCGGAAGGCACCAGTGGCTGCAATCCTGCTGATCCCACCCGTGCTTCTTACCCCACCTCGCAACATGGCCGTCTTTGCGGAACAGCGAGAGCTTGGTCACGTTGAGGAACGTCACACGCGTCTTCATGCTCCGCAACACCCGAGAGAAAACGGCTACCTTGCTTGAAAGCTCGTCCAGCTTGAATTCGTCCGCCAGTGGCTCCAGATGCGATTCACAGCTCCCTCCCGTGTCCCAGTCTCCTCCACTGTGACAAAAGCTCGTCAAAGAAAGATCTCGGATCATACGATACGTACCTGAAGTGGTTTGGAGAGTAGCCACGGACAAAAATCTTTTGTGTTCTTCCGATATGCCGATCGATCCAGCGGGCCCAAGTTTTCATGGAAGTCTCGAACGCGGCGAGACCGTCCATTTGAGTGGTGTAGTTGGAGCCTTGGATGAAGTAGCACTCCCTAGAGGAACAAAAGAGAAAGAAAAGCTAGCAAAAGTTGTATAGAAAGAACTTTGGTGGAAAAGAAAAAAGATGATCTTACCCGCTGTGAATGCTCCGGTGTTCCCACCAGTGCCCCGAATTGAAAACGATGAGATCCGCGCTCCTCCACTCGCGCGCCGCTGGATCGAGCCGGTCGAGCGAGAGCGTACAGTTCGCAGCGGCGCTCTTGATCTTGTCCGGGAGCCTCCGGTTCTCCGCGACCAAGAAGTGTGAGCGATAGAAGTCGATGTGGACTCTGTGATCCGCGAAGACGATGGAGTAGTAGTAGCCGGCCTTGGCGACACGCTGCCGGTGAGCCTCGTAGACGTTTCTCTTGTTCCTGGCGGCCTGGTAGAGCATACACACGAGAGATTCCCATTGATTCCGGCCCAGAGAATCTCCCACGAACGCCAGGGTCTTGTTCCTCAGCCTCTCCATCATATCCGTTGCATTGAATCTGTGTAAGAACCCAAAGAAAAGGAAAGATATCAATGCAAGCAAGAGAAAAAAGAAAGAAACGCTCGCTCGCTCCATTCAGAGAGATCTTTCTTTCACCTAGAAAGATCAACCAAGGAGAGTAGCGTACCTTGGAAGATCGCAGCTATGGGGCTGCCATCGCCAATGGAGATAGCCGCTATCGTTGCGCCCATTCTCTTGGCACTGGAACGCTCCATCGGTGAAGGGGCAGAAGGATGGCTGGAACAAGGGGTATCCATCATCGCGTACCCAGCGCCCGGAGTAAATATCGCAAGATCTTGGCGGTGGAGGCGATAGCGATGGCGCTGGAGCTGGCGATGGAGATGGAGATGGCGATGGTGCTCGAGCTGGCGATGGAGATGGAGATGGCGATGGTGATCCGAAATATTTCGGTGCTCGAGCTCCGCGATTACCAAGAGGAGGAGGATTATCATCGGGATTAGCGCCACCGCCGGCGCCCCCTACCCCGCGATCGCCGCCTTCGCCATCGCCATCGCGATCGCCCCGGCTGAGCCACGCCGTCAAGAATGCCGCATTGGCGGCCCGGGGAATGGACAAGCGCCTGGAGAGAAGATCGCCGCTGGTGCTCGAGAGGAACGACGATGCCGCCAGGACGAGCACGGCGAAGGACACTGCTACCGCGATGGATCCCCATGGAGAGAATTTCATAGGCGCGGAGAGCTACGCGATCGATCGATCGATGGAGTGGGCTCGCTAGAAATATTTTGCCTCTCGGCAAAACCTCTCGTGACACCTGTCCAGGCGTCGTATGACGTGGAGAACGTACTTTTGCTTCCCTGTCCGCCACGTGGCAAAGCTATAAACCCTAATGGCGCTGCGAGCGCGCGCGGCGGCGGGATTCTCTCACGCTCGTCTCGATTCGAGGCTGTTCTTCCGGGGATCGATTGCCAGGTCTGGATTTAGCTGCATTGCCACTGCGACTGCGAGCGGCTATGGCTACACGGTGGAATCGTGGAGCGAGACGCCATACTTGGAGCTCGTTCTTGGCCTCCGCCCCGAGGGGCAATCCATGACAGCGGGCGCTGGATCCACGCTCGCCGCCGTGCGAGCGAAGCGGCCGAATCCAGGATATTACGGCAGGCTCATGAGAATGCGGCTCGAGAATGCTTCGTCTATGGGGGGGCGCGAGGCGATCTTGGACAAGAAGAGCTACGTGAGAGATTTCGAGAGCTTCTGGATTCCTATGCTGGGCGATCTCATGGGAGGGGATTATCACCACTACAGTTTAGAGGTACGCAAGAATCTTAGATTTTTTCTCTTATTTTCTAGTTTCTTTTGATTTGCTATGTTCTTCGTGGCTGTTTTTCCAGCTTTGCTTATGAGTTTCTTGCTTTTCTTCCCATCAAACTTTGGTGTTGTTGGTCGGGATTTCTTTTGGTTTTCTCGTTGTTTCCGTGCTCGTATCTTTCATGCCTTATCGAGTCTGATCTTGTCGGTGACATTCTTTATTGTTTCGTCCTCTCCATCCATCGCGTTCTTATATCACGATCGTGCCAGGTTTTTACATGGCTCACGAACAATCCAATGGTCCTACTATCGGCCAAGAGACCGCAGCTCGAGCAGCTCTACGCGACGATGATCTCTTACGCCGGAGTCGTTGGGAGCCTGAGGCTAGCACGCATCTGGTTCGACGATCTCAAAGGCAAGGGGCTCAAGCAATCGACGAGGTGCTGCAACGCTCTCATCCTCGCCTATGCCAAGAAAGGTGACGTTCAAACCGCGCTCTCCATCCTCGAACAGATGAAAGCCTTCCGCAAGGGGTGCTCGCCAAACGTAGTCACGTACTACATCCTCATCGCCATGTTTGCGAGGCTGGGGGACGCGCCAGGCCTCGCAAATCTCCTGGGCGACAGCGAGTGCTCGAGCTTTCGTCCCGACCCCATGACTTACAACACTCTCCTCTGCGGCTACTCGAAGATGGGAATGCCGGAGGATTTCGACAAGACACACGGGGAAATGGTGGAGGATCTGGAGGATGAACTTAGCGAGGAGAGCTACAACGCGTTGCTCGTTGGATGCTCGCGGCTGGATCGTCTCGACGAGCTCCAGCGCTGTGTGGGGGAGATGCTAGCCAGGGAGATGAGTCTGGCATCGCCGGTGGTGGCGGAAGAGATCGCCAAGGCTTACAGAAGAAATCGATGGGTGGAAGGATTGGACACGGTGATCCAGCTCGAGGAAAAGAGTCCCGGGATTTCTCCAACCTTCCAAAGCTTTGTAAATGCTTGCAATGACGATTTAGAAAAAAAGGAGGCGCTTGTTTCAAGATAAGTTTTTACTTTTTTTTCACTACAATCCATGTGATTAACTTTGAATACTATTTTGTGTGGTCTCTTCCAGCTTTTTCCAGAATATGGACTCACTGGTTGTGTCCACTGGAAGGATTTCTTTAACACCATGCTGCTGGCATTCATGGTACGCGGCAAACAAAAGCTGCGACAAAAGAAAAATCCGAACAAGAATCTAACAGGGGCTGCAAATTGTAGAAAATTGACTGATACCACTGTCCAGGTTGAACTTTTGTGCATTCTTTAGTCAATAAAAACGCTGACCAGATAATGTTGACAATTTTGAACGTTGACCAGATTCTGGAAATAGATAAGCCCTAAACCTAAGCCCCGACCTTTAAATCTACACTCGTGCCGCCCAATCTCCGCATACATATTGGACAGCAGCACCGTTGACCCTGCAAAACCCGGGCTAATCCCCACCGCGTTCCGCGCCGCCATGGCCCCCCGCCGCGCGTCCCCGTGCACCTTGCAGCACCCCAGCAGCGTGTTCCACGCCACCGCTGGAACGGCATATTCCTCACCACGCCCGACAAACCCCGCCAGCCCCAGCACGTCCACCATGCACGTCCAGTGGTCGGGCCATGCCGCCAGGCAACCATGGACACGAAGAAATGCCGCACCTGGGCGAGCAGGCCGGCATGGCTGCACGAGTTGAGGATGCTGACGTAGGTGACGCTGTCGGGCTGGACGCCCTCGAGGTGCATGTCACGGTAGGGTTTAGGGTTTAGGGTTTATTTGGCATATTTGGTGTGGCCGTAATGGGCGTATCCCGCCACCGTGGAAGGCAGCGGCGGCATCTCCCATGCTACCGCAGCGCGCGTACATGCTAACCAGCACGTTGCTCAGGGTGAAGTTTGTCGTGGATCCCGCGAGAATCTCCGGATTCGCGGTGCATAGCTCGGTGTGGATGCACCGCCCCTCGGCGAGCTTGCCCAGGTCGGCGAGGGCGCACAGGAGAATGACGGCCATGATGCAATCGGGCTTTAGAATGGAGTCCGAGATGGTGGAGGCCGAGGTGTTAGTGGAGTCCGAGCTCTTCATACTCTTTGTGTACAAACTAGAGTCCGAGCTCGCAGAGACCAAGCTCCTCGAGCCCGACTCCATGGCCCTCGAGTTCCCAGCCTTCATCTCCGAGAACAATGCGATCGCTTCCTCGTCGTATCCGTGCTGCACACAAGATCCCATCATCGCGTTCCATGACACCAAGTTCTTCCTCTCGATCCCATCAAGGTATCCAAGTAAGTAGTGCCACTCACACTTGGATTGGGAGCATCGACCATTTGATTTCCCGGGGGAGTTAGAGCCAACTCTTGAACACTTCACTAAGCTAACCCACTTCTTTGTCTATATTCACTCTAGCCTAGACTCCTCAATGGAGAGGAGGATTATCATCGGGATTAGCGCCATTGCTTGTGCCCCCTACCCCACGATCGCCGCCTTTGCCATCGCCATCGCCATCGCCATCATCCCAACTGAGCCACACCATCAAGAATGCCGCTTTGGCAGCCCGAGGCATGGACAAGCACCTGGAGAGAAGACTGCCACTGGTGCTCGAGAGGAACAACGATGCCGCCAGGACGAGCATGGTGAAGGACACTGCTATTGAAATGGATCCCTATGGAGAGAATTTCATAGGCGCAGAGAGCTACATGACTGATTGATCGATGGAGTGGGCTCGCTAGAAATATTATGCCTCTCTCGTATGACACTTGTCCAGGCGTCATATGACATGGACAACGTACTTTTTCTTCCCTGTCTGCCATGTGGCAAAGCCATAAACCCTAATGGTGCTGCGAGCATGTGCAGCGGCGGGATTGTCTCATTCTCGTCTCGATTCGAGGCTGTTCTTCTAGGGATCAATTGCCAAGTCTGGATTTAGCTGCATTGCCACTGTGATTGTGAGTGGCTATGGAACGAGATGCCATACTTGGAGCTTGTTCTTGGCCTCTGCCCTGAGGGGCAATCCATAACAGTAGGTGCTGGTTGCTGCTGCAACTCTTATTTTATAATAATTATTTGCTGTATAATGGGAATCAAGCTTGAATATTCCTTTAATTAATTCTAATTAATTATCTAAGTATATTTGTTTTAAATAATATAATAAAAATTTAAGAAAATAATTAATATACTAAATGAGACCTCCAAATGGTCTCACTTTAATGAAAATGGGATTTTTTGTATATCAGACAAAAACAAAAACTAAAACTAACATGAAGTGTAGGGAGGAGAAATTTGTGAGCAACAGTTGAGAAAATGGCTTATCCTGAAGTTTTTTTTTCAAATTTTTTCTTGCAATTGTAATTTATAATAGTTAGTAAAGTTTTTTTATTATTTAATAATTATATTTTGGTACTATTACAGTTGTGAGTGCTCAATATATAAGAATAGATATATTAATTAGGGTTTAGACCCTTATTAATATACAAGAATAGATGGACTAAATTAAGTCCCAATTAGATGGTCTATATGCTTTAGTATTATAATTAATGTATTACTTAGGGTAATACATTGTATATATATACATATATTTATAAATTTTACATTATCCTCCGATGCAAAGGTGATGATAATAAGTTAGGTGGAACATCTAGAGCCTTTACTGGGTAATTATAAATTACCACAAGAATCTAAAGTTCCCACAAAATAATTAACAAAGTTGTTAATAACCATGACTAAAATAAAACCCAAAGCCATAACATAAGCTTCAATCGACTACAGAATCCTAATAAACTAGTTATAACTCTATATACAGCTCCCAAATGCTCAAACCAACCACACAACCATAATTTTGAACCGAAGTAAGAGATTTTGAGAGCCACTATAAGCTATATAACACCATTATAGCAAACAATATATCTTATCTTTAAGTCTACTAGTCAACAATCCTCCAAAACCACTATTAACTCAGATTTAGGACCATAAGTAGAACAACCATCATCTTTGTCCAGCACTGCACATAGGAAGTCAAACTTACTTTATTCATCTTCCACATCCTCCTTATCCCCTTAACGAAGGAAAATTGTAGCACATGTGGTCATGGGATAAGATTTTGATATACTATCACCGTGGATCTTTGGAACCTTGGGAAATAAATAGGGATAAAATAACCACTAAGGGCTCTTTCATCAAGTAATGCCTCTTTTCCAGTTGGCTTAAGGAAAGAGAGATAAGTTATGTTATATTTAATATCAAAGAAAATGGCACAAGTTTGATTCCCATTGATTAGTGGCTACTTAAAAAATATTATATACCCTTGAGCAAGGTATATTCCTACCCCTAAATTTGAAATCATACATATTGGGCATCCATGCAAACATCCTTCTTTTTGTGTGAGTATCCATAGATGAAGATATTCACCATAGAACTGCAGTATAGGTGGATGACTAGTTGCTTCACATGGAATAACTAATCTACACAATAGAAGGATTGGTAGATTTAGTGCAAAAATGGAAGTGTTGATTCCCCTTAGCTCAGTAGGGGTTGTTAGTTAATAGTCAATGAGGACATTGACATCTTTGAAAAGGGAGTAAATGTAGTGTATATGGTCATGGGATGAGATTTGGATATACTGTTATCGTGAATCCTTGGAATTTTGGGGGATAAATGGGGATAAAATAGCTACTAAGGGCTTTCTCATCAAGCAATTGCCCCTTTTTCAGTTGGCTTAAGGAGAGAGAGATAAGGTACACTACAGAAAAAACATTTTGAAACATTGGCTCTATTCAGACTCACTATGCTAGTCCTCACTCCATTATTTATGTTCAGCCTCACTCCACTATTGCATCCATTTAGCGTCATTATGTTAGGGCCGAATGTTCTGTTCAGGCTTGCTATGCTCATCCTCACTCCATAATCCATATTGTTTATCCTCGCTCCACTACCATATTCACTCGTCCTCACTCCATTGTTAGGGCCAAACTCCTATCCATCCCCTCTACCCCTCCTCTGAAAAAAAAAAGTTTGAAGTATCAGGGCAGAAATGAGAAAACAAGAAAAATTTAGGAAAAACAATTGTAAAATAAGAAAAAGTGAATAAAAAAGCATCCAAAAAGGAATTTACAGCAATTGGCAATGCAAAATGGGGAAATAAACAAAAGGATATGTGTTCAAAACTTGGAAAATATTGGATTTCCCATCATAAAATATTTCACCCATCACAATATAAGCAAAAGATTCACACCACACAGCATACAACTCAACACTTGATATGGGAAAATTAATAACAACGTTCACACTCTCAAGGGAATACATAAACTCCTCAGCAAAAATAGTAAAACAAAGGCTCTCAACAGCATTAACAAGTGGGGACATATAT